CGGTCCATTTTGAACTTAAAAAAAAAGAATCGATGCATACCCCAGCATGGGCGACAGAAAAGCAAGAAAGAGAATCGCCGATCTGCAAAAAAATAAAAACAAAAACATATAATGCTACCCGATTAAGGCATCATTACACCAAACTGGCCTAAGAAGCACGGCCCGAATGAATTTTCGTACACTAACCTCGTGACTTCCGCAAGTCAAACAGAGAGCTTCTGATTTTGAAGCCTTTAGTTCCTCGAAGTGAGCGAGAAAGTCATACCTGGCAACGGCTATGAGGTAGGCTCCACCAAAAGTAAAGAAAGACAGGAATAAGAAGAAATGCTTGTGATTCCGGCAACCAACACAATTTGCAAGCCAGGGACAGTGATGATCCATTCGCATAATACAGCAGCGACAAATTCCGCAATGATGGGCTCTTGGCGGCCTAGGTAAGACACAGCGTTGGCACATTGTTACTCCTCCAGTGCATTTTGGCAAATCATGAGGTAAGGGAACAGGCACCCGCCCCGGATCCATACTAGCAGCCATAAAGTAATGAAAAACCAAGTTGATAAGCACCCAGTGGCCAAGTACAAAGTGTATTACCAACCATAACAAGTGAGAATCGGGAGAATCCAGCGAAGTATTATCTGGATAGACACCTGTCCCATCCATACCGGAATTTATCAGTTTATCATGTTCCCAAAGGATAATACGCCTAGGAAAAAGGCAAGTATATATGCTTACTACAATTGTGCCAACAGTAAGAACAATAAAGAAAACTAGAGCATAACCAAAGGACCTTCTGGCTCCCATCTGCCCACCTAGAACATTGATCAGCGGCTGCCAGAAGATAAGCCCAATCAAGCCGGAGAGATAAGAGAAAACACCTCGAAAGAAGTTAGGATGGCATATCCTATAGGGCAACGGCGCGCTGCTGTCATAGTCCAAGGATGGAAAGCGAGGCAATAATTGAGTATCATGCAAATTGGTGAAATAAAAAACCTCTAGCGTATAGATAAATTCAGAAATCTGCTTCATTGTGTTGGGAATAAACTAACTCTAGGAAAAAGAGAAGACATATGGACAAATAAATAAACGGGATTGATTAAATGGAAGGATGATAGGCCAGCGCAATTCATGGGACTTCTTCATAGGATATAAAATTTGCACGCGTATATAAGAAAAAATAAACAAGAACGCGAAACATGGGCACACGCTTAGAGAGGTCAGAGGTAAGCCAAGCCAAAATAGAGGAACGAAGGGCGAAAAAAGCGACAAATAGACCCCAAGACAAAAATAACCAAAAAAATATGTTTACATAAAATTTATTAGTATTGCTTAAAAGTATTTTGTTTTATGCCACGATTTTAGGGTTTTTAGCTGCATAGTTTGCCCGCCTTGTTTGTAAAGCTGACTTGCCTCTCATCTGGCGATTGCTTTTCTCCATTAAAATGCTTCTAGTTTGAATTTCATCTTTATTTTAATCTTGGGATGATTAGAAATTTACGGTCTGTATAATACGGGATGCTTACTAACTTTTTTATAGAGGGGTCTCCTCTGGTAGATATTTGGGTCTTGTCCTTGGACGCAGAAACCTTCAAAGTGTACATAGTGGTCAGCTTTTGGTCCATCGCCCCCCTCTAAATAACTTATCCAATCATGCTTTCTGTCATCCATATATTTTTGTTGGTCATTCTTCTGTCTACTCACTCCATACTCGTTACTCTTCGACTTCATCATCGGGTGATCCTAATATTGATTTGAAGGACAAAACCTCTCTTGTAAAGTCGACCGACGGTCTAGCTGAAAAAGAAAATGATTTTAGAAAATCAAATATTAATCTTAGTGACGAACAACTCAAGCTTGCTGTTCCTTCAACCGAGGTAGATGTGCTTTTCTCTTATATCCTCCAAAGAATAAAGCATTAGAGCCGAAAAAGTCGTTGTGGCAAAAAGTAAAGCACGAAATAATACACTATTATCACGGATTTCGTCTTCTTGGGTTGGATATCAAAATAGCTTTAGGACTTTGTTTTCATTTGCTAAGAGGTCGGACTTTATCCTTTCGAGAACGCAAGCAACTAGTTAGGACTGTTGCTGATATTATCCGATTAGTTCCCTTCGCGGTCTTTATTATCGTTCCGTTTATGGAATTTCTTCTTCCTCTGTA